TTTCTTACTTTGTGTGCCTGAAGCGCTACGTTATATGGAAATGATGTCACTCTTTGTGTTGGTATCATATTGAATATTGTGGAGACCAGCTGCAGATCATCCAGGAAGCAGTTTGGTTTGCAAACACTGGATTTTGCCCCTGCTTTCAGAGTGAACATGGGACGGAGCTATTTGAGACTCTGGGAGTGGAGGGTGAGATCAAGCTCGCCATCGAGAAGCTCGCCGAGTGGGCAGCTCCTCGGCCAGTGGAGAAGAACCTCCTCACCATATCAGATGAGGTCTTCGTGCATCCCGAGCCCCTTGGAGTGGTCCTCATCATTGGTGCTTGGAACTATCCCTGGGCCATCACCCTGCAGCCGCTGGTCGGAGCTATTGCTGCCGGTACCACATAAACCCATGTGTATTTAGTTACCAGTATTCTTTTAGGTGCATAGTCTATAGCACATGTGCAACCTTTGTTGGCGTATCAAAACCTCCTTTTCCACAAATTCTAGTGCACTGACACTTTGCACATTATCATAGAGCAGGGTCGGCAAATTAATCACAAAGGAAGGACTGTTTAAAGTGAACCTATTGTCCTTTTCTTACTTATACTCTTACAGTGTTGTATACTACTAGTAATCATGGCCCAAGATCAGTACGTGCACAGGTAATCCTTGTGAACCACATGCTCAGGCTCTGTACAGTAGCCCTATGTGCTCCTGTCAGACACAAAGCCTTGGCTCGGAGCACAGAAGCTTGATCCACCTCGGCTTAAAAGAAGGTGAAAAGGAGCTTAACCTGTTTTAGAGGATGAGCTAGAAATGAGTACGACGGATCCCCTTTTAAGGGATAGATCAGCATTTTTAGAATAGATTTAAATCCCTTCATGCTGCGCCTTAATTAAAAAGAAACGGGGGAAAGACTCTGCTGCTGTTGTAGACTGGAATCAATGATTCACTGTCGAGCTTTAACCAGTAAAGTGTGAGAAATAAAACCAGTTGTCCTGCGAATGAAAACTGCGTCTTCTGCTCAGTCGGTTCTTAAAGCGCACCATCATCCATGCCTCTGTGTCTGTTCGGTGTCTCAGGTAATGCAGCAGTAATAAAACCATCTGAGGTCTGCTGTCACTCTGCTAAGGTCATGGAGGAGCTCCTCCCTCGGTATCTGGACAAGGTGAGGCTCCTTCCTTGTTGGATGACCTTTCTCGTACATGTAGTGTAAGCATGCTCGGAGTTCCCGTGACTTGACGCCCTTTCCACAGGACCTGTACCCGGTGGTGACCGGTGGAGTGCCAGAGACCCAGGAGCTGCTCAGGCAGAGATTTGACCACATTTTCTACACGGGCAGCAGCGCAGTCGGCAAACTGGTGATGGAAGCTGCGGCTCGCAACCTCACGCCAGTCACCCTGGAGCTGGGAGGGAAGAGCCCCTGCTACATCGACAAGAACTGTGACATCACTGTTGCGTGCCGGTCGGTCCTCTCTGTAGAACAAAGGAGAAACTTTAAAAAACACAGCTGAGTTTCCAAACATCGAGTGTTTTCTTTTTCCGACAGTCGCATCACGTGGGGAAAGTTTGTCAACTGTGGACAGACATGCATCGCCCCGGACTACGTCCTGTGTGAACCCTCCATCCAGAACAGAGTGCAGGAGGAGATCAAGAACTGCATCAAGGTTGGTGTGCACTACATAAAGAAACGAGTGGTGGCTGAAGACTTTTGCACAGAACCAGATTGTTGTTGCTTCTTTTATTCTTAAATGATCTTCCTTTGACACAATGCAGGAGTTTTACACAGATGATCCAAAGACTTTTGAGGACTACGGACGAATCATCAACAAGCGGCATTTTAAGAGAATCATGGCTCTCATGGAGGGCAGCACAGTTGTTGTTGGGGGAGACTCTGATGAATCCCAGTGCTATATAGGTATGTATGTAAG